AATTTTATTTTATTTAATAAAAATAATTATAATTATTAATTAATAAAAATAATTACTATTTATTAATTAAGAAATTAGTATTTTTTTAAAATGTTTTAAAAATTAAAATTAAAATTTACAGCTTTAATATTTTATATGGCCTCCATTGACCAGCCTACTAATTAGTTATATGTATTTTCTTCATATATCTTATTGTTTTTTCATAAATAAAAACAAAAAAAAATTACTTATAACACAAATTTAATTAATTTTGATATGGTGATTTAACAATTAAAAAGTTAAAATTTTAAATTAAAAATTTCAAATTTCAACCTCAAATCAAATGAAAAAAAATAAAAAATAAAAAATAAAAAAAATAAAAAATAAAAAAAATTACCACCTCTTATATAACTTATAATTATAATTAGACTTATAAAAAAAAAAATCCCATTAAAAATTTGATCCATACAGGTTAATACTACAGAGAAAGCTTTAGGTCGAGTCCACTACCTTCATCTTCTGCTTTATCCTTGGCATCATCTTCTTCTTCCTTTCGTTGTTGCTCCTTTTTTGAAGAAGAAGGGCCCGCTGCTTGAGTTGGTAGGGGAAGATGTTCGGACTTGGCATGCTCCATGAAATCCTCCGGTTGGAACATCGGATTCCAAACCGCGACCTTTCTCTCCTCTTCCTTCTCCTTCGATCCTTGCGGGAGGTTCCTCAATCGATCGTGCATGTCCTTGGTATTTCTAATCAAAGCAAAAAACTTCTGCATCTGCTCATTTTCATCTTCTTCTCCTTCCTTCTCCATTTTCCTCTTCCTTCCTTTCTCCATATAAAAAAATCCCACAAAAACAAATTCTAAAAGTCTATGATCGGAAATGAGAAAAAAAATTTTATAATTACATCATTGATGCATACATATATAAAAGAAATGAAAATATGATAGGAAATTGTAAGGAAGAGAAGAAAGCGAGATAGAAAGAGAGTTAATCAAGTCTTACTGCTTCCTAACCCATGAATCAGAAAACCGTGTTCGTTTACTTTATATACTATGACAACAGTGTGCTACTACCACAAAAAAATACTATAGAAAGTGACCAGATGACATTATTATAGTAAATATTTTTTAAAAATGTAATATAAAATGCTTGATTGAAGAGGGAATTGACGAGGATGCCCCATGGGTTTTGTTGCTATTTTCTGCAGGGGAAGTTTCTGGACATGTTGGCAAATTGAGGATGTACTGGTGACATGGGGCCCGAACAATAGTGCGCGTCACAGGGCATAACGTGATGCCTCCTACCTGCTAAATGTAAATGGTGACGCCGTCTCTCTTCACGACATTAGCCACGGCTTCCCGTTTTCCTGGCGGCTTCCTTCATGTTATGGAATCCGTCACCTCATCGTGGGACCTTCCCATCTTTTGATTCTCCTATCATGGACCTACATGCGGAATTATTACGTTTGCCCTCTATCGCTCAACCTTAATGTCAGTTCCGCGTGTACGGCACAAGTGGCTACTCCCTACTCACTTCACTTGTTTCTTAGTGGAAGCATCATTCAAGTTTGATATTTTATTTTTTGGGATTCTAATTCCATTCCCCATCCCCATAAAATGGTAGAAATGTTTGTGAAAGAAAAAAATTACCCTTATAAAAAAAAAAAAAAAGAAACTTAATATCAATAAAGTAGCATATTTTGCAATTTAGAACTATTGAAAGGGAAGATAGTATTTAATATAAAATATTTGTATTTAATATTTAAATTTATTAAAAATAAATGTTGTTTTATAAATTAGATATATAATTCAAATCCTGAGCCAATATTTAAAGAAATTAATTTTTTTTAAAATGTACCAAAATCAATATAAAAGTTATATCTTTAAAATTGAGTGGAAGGGATTAATTTTAAAATATGTAAAAGCTAATTCAGGAATATCCTAACCATAGATATAAAAAAAATATAAAAAGGTAGTACCTAATATTTTTTATAATATTTATGATCAAAGTGTATTTAGACGAGTTTTTATACACCTCAAGACTATTTCCTTTTTGGTGATTTTAAAGGCACGTCTTTCACATTGGCATGATGCATGTAAAGAAATTAATTTTCTTGAGTGTTGACCTCAAGACTTTAACCTTAAATTTGGCCTACTAGATGATACTTACTTACCACTATATTCAACCTTTGGGGTTATAACACTTAATATTAAAGGATCTATTACCTATCTAATGGTTTATATCATGCACAACACTTTTACCGTGCTGCTAATTAATTAAATATTTTTTGGTACTAAATCCTCATATACCAAGAGGAAACATTAGATCCTAACTAATATGAAATTGAGTTGCATTGGATTTCATAAAAAGAAAACTCTTTCATCGCTTATCTCTTTACTTATAAATTTGGACTCAATACCTTATTTAAGAAGAATCGAACTCTATTTATTTGAATCAACATCTCGTTGGTCTAATTAATTAAATGTACTAGTAAAACCCATTTGAAAATACCAACAACCTATTAATTCGAGTGAAAGAAATTTTGTTTCCTTTAAAGAAAATCTTGAGTTCGAGTTTTGTATATGGAGAGACAGACGTTGAGAGGATTTTCCCATTATATGATCCAACCCAACTCAACTATGAATTAGTTAAGAGTCAATGTAACTTTCGGACAATGAGAGTTTATTATAAAATAAAAAATAAAAAACCTTTAGAAATACTAGTTGTGTATTAAATTTGAAGACTTAGAATTAGATCCTATATATATCTTCACCAAGACTGTAGGATTGATTAAGGAAACAAAAGCTTAATTTGAATTGATTACTGACTGTCTGCCTTCACTATGCAAGAATAGTAGTAAAGAGAAAAGATTGAAATCTTCTTATGTAACTCATCACATGTGTAATTTCAAAGAAACACAAGATTAAGTGAGACTGTTCAGACAGTCTCATGGATCAACTAGAACGCCGTGCCATTTGACAAATATCTTCCCCTATACCAGAAAGCAATCGACATGCTAAAACGTTGTCATTGAGAATTGTTCTACTTTTGAGTTGAGTGAGGACTTGGAGTAAAGACAAAAGCACAACGTGACATGCATGTTTCCTTCTATTATTGAGATTAGACTTCACTAGTAATTTTGAAACCCAACTTTACTTAAACGAGATATTTTATCAACGTGATTTTGTAGGGGTACTAGCGCATGAATCAACTAGATACTTAAGCAAGATATTTTGGCTCTTTCTTTTTTAATTTTATTTTAGTTATATAAAGAAAAATAACTCTCTTTTATCATAAGTCATTGGCATATTTTGACTTCTTTTATCATAAGTCATTGGCATATTTTGACTTCTTTTATCATGTCAATAAGATACTAAAACTTAATGTTGTAGTTATTAATGATTTAAGTAGTTTTAAAATAATTTGTTTTTTAAATAGAACAACAAATTTTAAATTTAAATATATA